CTGTATGTTTTTTTTTAGCATTTAAATGCAAAATGAACCGGATAAAACAAGAGCATATACTGTACTAAACGCATCTAAGCACATTTATCAAAACAGTAATTTTTAAAGTAAGAAAGTAAATGTATCCAAACAATGTGTCCTGCCTCGATCGTCTGCTCCTTCCGTGTGCCACGCCCCCTCGTTAACCGCATGTGGAATCCCCGTGTGATCAGTTTTTTCTGGTAATTGTTGTCAGGAGTCCTCTGTATTTCGTCCACGTTTCAGTTTGTTTCCCCAGTCCGGTCATTGTATTGTCCGTCTGCGTTTTGCCTGCCTTACCTGTAATTAAACCCCATATTCCCCGATACCCTGACGTCTGCACCTTTGTCTCCATTCCGTCCCTGCTCGGCAGGACAATAGTATTATAATTAAATGTATTAATGGTTTATTACTAATATTAAAATAATTAATAATAAATCTTTATTTTAAAATGTATTTTATTATATATTAATAATTACTGTTACTGTCTATCATTGTCTAAATGTATTTTTACTGTCTAAATATATGTATTCAGCTTCTGTAAACATGCACGATGCTATCACAGCGAATGCAAGGCTGGGACTGAAGCGTTACCCCTTGTTTCCGCTGAGAGACATGCCTCGTGACTCATTTCCCTGCGCATACAAGTTATCTTAGGTCGGCGTTCTCGGTTTGACTTCTGAGATTCAGATCGAGTACTAGGTAATTTTTTTCCGAACTGGTTGGTTCGACTTCTAAGAAATTCAAGTTCTAATGAGTTCGAGAATTGAGCTGCCACTGTATATTAAATTTTAAATATTGTTTATAATCAGGGATGGACATAATTGGTTCGCGACTACGCATTCAAGTCAAGTCAAGTCAAGTCAAGTAGGCTTTATTGTCACTTCAACCATATACAGGTAGTACACAGTGAAACGAAACAACGTTCCTCCAGGACCAAGGTGCTACATGCAATATTCTCGATATGCGATAAGTGCGGCAATCGATTGTTGTAACAGCATGAAGGCGTACATATTTTATGTGCATTTGAACTGATATGACAAGAAATTATCGAGCATTTTAACCTTTATATAGCTAATTCGTACTTCATTTGTGGTATAGAGGTTAAAATGCATGGTAATTTCTTGTCATATCGGCGCAAATAAAATACGTACTGTTACATTAATCGATTGCTGCACGTATCACTATTAAAGGTGAATGTGTACTTGCGTATCAGATATGACCATCCGTGTTTATAATAAAACAAACCACAGTTCTGAACATAATGTAGTATAATATGAAGGAAACGTCTTACATGATGGTGTTCTCATCATTAATCTGTGGGGGAAGAAACCCACAATAGCATTGTCTTTGAATGAAATTCAGTTTTGATTTTTAATAATCACTTCTAACAAGGCAGGCATGTGCCCAAACTAACAAAACATTCTGAAGAAGATAAAACTTTTGACAGACATGTATAAATCAAAAATTTGGAGTGCTCAATATTTTCCATCATCCAATTTAGACAACTTCCAGAAAAGATAATGTTTTTAATTTAAACTGTAGTTATTACTAAGAAATAAACAAGAAACCATCATCCTGTTCATAAATATAACCCTGATTAACAAAAACTTGGGGTGCTGTGAATGCAATGATTTTCAAATCATATGAACACATATTTAATTGAAAATAGAAGAGAATACATCAGTTGCTGAAACTGGGAAATGTTATTGTTTTATGACAAAAATATGCTCGATATGAATTTGATTGAATGCTAAAACAAAACCCCTAGTTGAATATTTCACAACTAATTATGTTAATTGGCAACAGGTCAGTAAGATGACTGGGTATAAAAGCAGCCTCCCTGAGAGGCAGAGCCTCTGTACAGTGAAGATGTGGACAGGTTCACCAAATTTGGGAATTTCATCTTCTACGGTACATATTATTAAAAGATTCAGAGAATAGAGAGAAATCTCAGTACGCAAGGGACAAGTCCGAAAACCAATACTATTGTCTGTGAACCCAGTTTGTCGCTGCATCCACAA